CATTGCTCCCATCCCCTTTTCCCTTCGCCTTTCCCCAGCACAAGATTCCCGCAGCACAGGGACGCTCGCTTTCACTCGCACAACCAAAATGCACCCCAAGCCAACGCCAACATTGGACGCCTTATTTTGTTTTGGCCCTGCGCTGGCGATGGAGGTGGGGAGCATATAAATACAAACACTCCAATCCAGTCCAGTCCAGTTTACAGTTTTACTGTGTGGGTGTTGGTTAAGGTGTGTACCTATGCGATGGATGCGGGTCCCTGCGGGTATATATACACATATTACATATGTATATGGTTATAGAACATGTATACCCCCGATAACGGATAGGAGAGAATGCAACCAAAAGTGAAGTTGATTGTTGACTAACACGCCCGTTCCGTTGGCTCGGTCCGTTGCGGACGGGAGAGAGAATATGTACGAAAGCGTAGGCTGTAGCCATGCTTGCTATGCACGGCAGGGTTTTTTTTTTTTTTTTTTTTTTTTTTTTTTTTTTTTTTTCATCCTCCATCCTCCATCCTCCATCCTCTACAGAGAGACCTTTAGATCTTTTGATCTCCGGCGACGGAGATGGCAACGGTCAGTAGGGTAGGCAGGCCTGGCTAGGCTGGGTTACACGGCAGGCGGTTGGGCGGTTGCACACACAGGAGAGGACCGTTTTGAACTGACTGGTTACTTGGCTTGCTTGCTTGTTCTTGGAGATGGGAGGAAAGGTACGATGTAGAGAGATCATGATCTATTGGAGCGAAGCATGATTTCCCATCCGGGTTGGCCGAATTGGAGCTCCCAGGGGGGGGGGGGGGGTGTTGTTGAAGAAATCAAGAAGCCAAGAACCCAATTGCTCCCGAGACTTGAGTCTTTTGACAGCTCAAGGCTGACGGGTCGTTGCTTAGAGCCCACCTGCATCATGCACAAAAGAAAGAAGAAAGGAAAGGGGGAAAAAAAGGACAAACCGCGTCCTATCAAACGCATCGCGTTTCGTTTCGTTTCGTTGGCCAATGTGTCCAACCGTCTCTTTCCCCGTTTTTCCCCCAGCTGCACTAGGCTAGGTGCCAGTGACAGACGGTATCTTATGCGATTGATTTGATGTTCGTAGTAAGATGGAGATCAAGCTATTTGCAATTGATATATCGTAGCCGTAGCCGTAGATGTGGATTATAGACACTCTACCATCACCCTTTCTTAGAGAGCTAGAATTTCAAGTCTCTTACGCCAGCATCCAAGCCCCAAGCCAAAAAAAAAACGTCCCCAGCAAAAATGTGCCAAAAACAAAAAAAAAAAGAGAGAACAAACGGCTACACACATCCCAAACCCCGTCCTCGCCGCTGTCGACCACAATCGCCCAACGGCCTTGCAGATGCCCGTCCTGCCTGCTTGCTTGCTTTGCTGCATCGACCGTGCTCTGCACGGCCCTCTTTTTATTTTCTCTCTCCTTTGGTTGTCAAATCACCACACAGCGCGTCCCGATTGGAAAAGAGCTTCGAGGGCTGGAAGGGAGGGGCGCAAGAGGAGCCGGAAGGGTGGATGGCAGGCGGATTGTGTGACATGCGTTGGGTGATGGCTGCAGTTAAGCGAAGGTGATTGTATTGAAGTTTTTTCGTGGGATGGGGATTTGGGATCTGTCGAGGACTTATAAGGTTCTTTGGTGGGTGCTTGTTTTTTTCTTCAACTTCGACTTCGAGTTTGTCTTTGTTGTTTTTTTTTTCCCCTTTTCGCTCTCCCCCTTTTCACAGCGTGGTACCAGCTGATATACAACATGCCGGCTGTTGGACCCCGTGTGTCAAAGGAGGAATTCATGCAGGCCCTGGGCTTGAATTCGCATGATCCCCAGCATGAGCAGTACTATCGGGCGATGCGGGTATGTTTTGTTGATTCCACCTATATACAAGCCGTATAACCGCGGGGGAGGAAACAAAATGTGTATATTTACCTGTCAGTGCTGAAGACTCATACATCAATCAACCAGGACGAAGCCATCATCGTATACAACCGCATGAACCAAGATACCTCCGACCTGCTGGACAGCGTGCGAAACGACCCCAACACCCGTCCGCCCTTCTTCTGGCATCATATCCGGCCCGAGAGGCAACGATGGGGCATCATGGAGATCTCGCGGAATGCCGGGCCCCTGACTCGGTCGTTGTTCGAGCGCGGGAGCACCACCGGCGAGTATGGTCCGAACTGGGTTGCTGGGTGGTTGCTGTACAGCGTGTTCCGGTCGAGAGATGTGCGCAATAATCGTAATCGGAGGAAGGGGGATGACCACGGTCAGTGTTCTGTTCACACATGCCCCTAGCAATGGGAGTTGGTGGATGCTCATGCTGATGTTGACAACCCAGGCCATGACTCGAAACGTGAAAAGCAGGCACAATCGGACACCGGACTGACGAAGAAATATTATGACCCTGTGAGAAATGGATGAATGCTGTGGCTTTTTGACGATGCTGGCTCTCTGCAACATCTCCCTTCCTGTATAGACAAAACCCTTTTGCGTCGCTAATCAATTATCAATCATCCGAATAAATCAATCCATCAATCAATCAATCAATCAATCAATCATCGTCCTCGACATCTTTTTCCCTCTCTTTCTGCTTATGTCCATTCTTATACCTTCTCTCCTTCTTCAGGGCCTCGGTGACGCGGTCGTCCTGCTCATCCTTGCGCTCATCCCAGTCAACGTCGTACTCGGCCGCGATGTTCTTGATCTCCCGGCGTATCGCATTGCCTTCGTCGATGAGCGTTTCCCACAGCTGCAGGTCGATCCCTCTCATCTGATAGAGTTTCTTCTGCCGCGCGTTGATCGTGAAATCCAGCGCCGAACGGTAGGAGATCTCGCGGTTGTGATACAGGAACCACAGATAACCACCCATCAGTGTCGACAAACTGACCAGGTACGTCACAGGCTCCATCGTGTCCCAGCCCAGATCCGTCCCAAACGTCAGCTTGTACACGAGGCACCACCAGAAGGCGAGCACGCCAAACCCACCCAGCGCCACTCGCTGCGCGCCGCGATGCGCCAACGTATCACATTCATGCTTGATCTCCGCCAGGCTTTGGATCCGCCGTGAGATCTTCCGCAAGCGCATCCTGAGGAAGTACGTTCGCTCATCGAACGACGGGACGGCCACGTGGATCTGCTCCAACCCTGCCGGAGCGCCTTCGATCGCCACGATGAACTCCTCCGCCCGCGCAGCGTCGCGGATAAAGTCTCCGATCTCTGTCGACTGCGACCACCGGACGAACCGTTGCTCCTTGTCTCCCTTGCCCGGCTCCGGTCTTCGTAGATAGCTGAATGATTCGTCCACCTCCTCGAATTCTCCCTTCCGCTGTACCACGACACCCTCGTCCTTCCCGCCTTCAAGTCGGTGCACATGCGCGTCGGTTTCCTCATACAGTCGCTTTTTTGGCCGGACGGCGTCTTCTTCTAACTGCAGTGCGATAAACGAAATCGCAGGCGGAGGCTTGTGTCCATTTTCGTCTTCGATTGGTGGAATCTCCGATTGAATCAAACGTTCCAGGTGCGAGAGGGGTTGCTGTGGGTGGACCAGGATGGCGATCTGTTCGATATCTTTTCATCTGTCAGCTCTCCGTTCCATACAAAGCAAAATCCAACAAGACAGTCAACATACCTCGGCGCTTGATCGTCGTCAACGGAATGAGGAGCTTGAACAGCCTCGACGGAGTCGTCAATAATTTGCCTGTCCACTGTCAGCAGCCATAGCCAATCACCGCCGGAAACAAACCCCTCTCACCCTTCGTCATCGCATTGACAAGCTTGTGCTTTGACCCTGAGCCATCATTTGTCTCAGCTTTTCCCCCGCCATTGTCTTGCGGCCGCGCCTTCCTGAGCTCCAGCCTCTCCAGTTGATCTACTCCGTTTCCCCCATTGCTGTGTTTGCCGCTCAATTGGCTGAAAAACCGCTCTGTATCTCTCGCGTCATACACTCTCAACGCTCCTCCATAGTGAACACGCGCTGATATTGACAGCGGAAGCGGTGCTGCCTCTCCCTGTGCCTGGGGTACTCGCCCAAGAAACGAACCATGATATCGGAGCGCACCAGATCGACTCCCTGGATTCGCAGACCGTAACGCAGCCGCAATCGGTGTGCGACTAAAAGCCCGCATGCCTAGAATAATAGGTTGCGGAGCTGACCATGCAATAATGGACGATTGGAAACTCGTGCTCTGTGCTCCGTTCTCCGCGTTCCGTGCAATGTAGATGGGGTGGTATGCTATTTTGAAAGTCTATACAGCCACTTCGACGAGAGGGAAAGCATTTTCAATGCAGGAGAGTCACTTCCTCGAATTCGTCATGTCGTGTTGTCTGCACGAGCGAAGCCAATGGCTGATAAACAGGTCAGTTCTGGAGCTGTCCCGATTGTGCCTTGGAAGATCCAGGCGGAGAGCAATACGTCATTGTGGCTAAATTATGCAAACTGTACAAACACAAGCTGTTATGCGAAAGCACGTGCTACAGTTGATGCCTCAGGAGAATAATTGGGATGGCTGTGTTGTTCAATCAACCTTTGTGCTTCGTTGATGGTTGAGGGCACTTGAAAGTTGCTGGGAAAGGTATGAGTATAAGCTTACGAGTCAAAAGGAACAAGCTCAGTCTGTTCCGGTATTACCCTTGTCCGTCGAATTCGTGTTTATCTACTGGGGAAATAACTACAAATCATCCTCACATACAAAATCACATTGCGAATGTCATTTCAATCTATTGGGATATTTCAATCATGTCATCAATCATCACGTCGTAAGGTGTTTTGCCTTTTTTTTCACTTTTCTTCTTCTTCCTTTTTTTCTTGGTTCAATTTTTTCGTCTCGTTGCTGCTTGCCCTTCTTGATCATCGAGCAAATCTGTTGGCAAACGCTTCACCACTGCAGCCCACAGCTCTCGGGGACGCTATAGCTCGGCCATCCCGACCGAGTCGGCTCCCCTCATGGCTTTCCGGGCTGCTTCCACCGCTCCTGCTCTCCCCGCTCGTGGAAGTGTCCGTATCGTCGAGGTATCGGCCCTTCCTCCCCGTGCCAATGGCGACGGGGATTCCCTGTATGATCCCGCCGTGGTCATGGCCCGCGGGATACATGCCGTCGTTGACGGAGAAGTTCCGACAAATCAGGTACGCCCGCATGGCCGCATTCTCGCGGGCAAGGGTCTCGGATTCGCTCACGGAATCTGTTTGGTACTCGCGGTTGTTGACACGGACGACGCAGCCGTATCCGCCTGTGCCGGCGAACGATTCGTAGACCGGCTCCGGCCAGTTACGCCGTCGGCAGAGACCTGTCGCTCATAGTTATTGGATACTGAACACTCAAAATTGGTATATGGGGAAATCACAGAAGCCGGGAACGCCATGGTGATCTCCTGGGAGTGAGCAGCAAATCAACGCAGATGTAGATAACGCAATGTTTCGCCCCTGCTCATCGTCCACATGAAGATCTAGAAGTTGGCAAGTTCTCCGAAAAGAGTGTAATGAGGGAAAGCGTCAAATATCCTCCAGCCCTGTCAAGGTCTGGATTCCGGGTAGGGAAGGACAAGGCACGAATAAGGGTAGATTGCGCTACATACTTGCGAGATAGAGGATATAATACATCGTGAATACAAGTAAGCGGCCAATAAAATGTAGGCGGCAGAGCGGTATCGGTCTGGTATTCGCTGCCCCGGCTATGTTGATACTGCACAAGAATCCTGGTAGTTACTCCCAAAATACTCGACAAGCCTTCGCAAATGGCGTTTGTTGCTGCCCAATGTCCACGTTGTTCGTACAGATGATGCGATTTGCTATCTGTAGAGGATCAAAAGTCCTTTGCAGCGAGTCAATCGGTGTCCAGAAGCTTAGTATAGATCAATGTGAACAAGGAAGGTCGCCAGATGTGAGGACATTAGATCTAGCGGC